TGTGTGGTGGCCTCCCTTGCACTAGCTGTTAAAGCTGCCATTTGAGAGCCCCTGGATGTTTGAATTTGCATTCTTGTTAGGATTCACCTTTTCCCCAAGAGTGGCCTGCGTCATGCTTTCTTCAGTCTTACATCAGTTGGGAATTGTGCCTTTTATTCATAGCTCCATTCTACCTCCACTACGAGGTGAGCTTTTGTGAACAAAGTGGAGTACTTCATGATTTCAAGACCCCCCTACAGGGGCTAGAGTGATGGTTCAGTGCTTAAAAATATTGATTGGTTTTACAGAGGACCAGGGCGCCAAGTCCCAGGACCCACATGGTGGCTCACATCCATCTGTACCTTCAGTACGAGGGGATCCAACACCCAACTCTGACCTCCGCGGACAACAGGCTCATACATGGCATAGAGATACATGTGCACGCAAAAACACTCATACACACAAAATAAACCACCCCAATGTAGCCCAGGCTGCTTAAGAACAGTCAGGAGATGTGTGTACCACCCATTTAATCCCAGCACGGAGGCGGAGGGATCTCTTTGAATTCAAGGCCAGCCTGGTTTGCAGGTTCCAGGGTGCTTATGCAGGAAAACCCGGTCTCAAAAACAAACAAAACATTCAGGATCCTCTTTGCAGTTAAGCAAATGTCCTTTTGAGGAGCCACAAGGTCAGGCGGAAGTTGTAGACTTTAACAGGAGTGCTCTTCCTCCCCCTGCCAGCAGAGGGCACACCCCCTGCTTCCGTTTTGTAGCAACTACCCCTCGCAAGCAACACAACACATTCTGTATTGCCACCCACCAGGCGCGGCCCTGGCCTGGGAACAGTGGAGGAACTCCAGTGTAGACAGGACAAGAGAACACACGGACGAGTTGGTGGGGGGTGGGGGGCGCAGGGCGGTGACAGGGATGGAAAACGGAGAATTGAGTCACCCTGGACTGGAGTCATTTGAGGCTTCGCGAAGAGCGTGACCTGGTTTGGACTCTGAAGCTGGGGCGTATTCGGCAAACCCCACATCGGAACTGGGCTGCATTTCCTCCCACCTCTCTCTCCGTGCTTCCGACAAACACGCTTATCAATGGCCACGTGGACACACTGGCCCACCAGACCCAACACCTACTGACTGGCGCCACAACTATTGACAAAACCCAACGGGTGTGGATGGGTTCCGCACATTGGCTCACTGGAGAGATCTCTCAAGGAGAAGGTAAAAAACAATAAAAGTAGCTGGTGAAAGCTGAGGAGGGGCGTTTTCCCATGTTCCACTGATGAACAGTGAGATTTACTAATGACCAACAAGACTAGAGGACTCTGGTCTCCTGGGTGGCTGGCCGATTCTGCCGGGGCGCCACATGGCAGCTTCCAGAGCAGGAAAGGACCAAACCCTGGGCTCTATGAAACCCTGTCTCCAAACCCTGCCCTGGCCAAAGACTTGTAACACCAGACTTGTAGCACCATCTTACCTTTTCAACTATCTACATGTGTTGACCACCAAAGCAAAATGAGGTTAGAGAGACGGCTGGTTGTTAACAGAACTTGTTGCTCGGAGGACTGGGTTCAGTTCCCAGCACCCACGTGGTGGTTCACAACCATCCATAACTCCAGTTCCAGGGGATCTGATGCCCTCCGTGGGCACCAGTCACACATTTGGTGTACATATATACATGCAGACAAAACACTCATGTAGACAGAAGAAACAAATCCTTAAAAATTAAAAATAACGTTTTCAAGAACATTTTAAATAAAATTTCATTTTTAAGAAATGTTGCTTATTTGGGGGACAGGGTTTCTCTGTGTAGCCCTGGCTGTCTTGGAATTTGCTCTGTAGCCCAGGCTGGCCTCAAACTTAGAGATCTGCCTGTTTTTGATTGGATTAAAGTGTGCCCTGCCAACACCTGGCTTTAAGTGAAACTTTAAAGCCGGGAATGCAAAGCTTTTAGGATGGCTGTAAAGCTCTTCTGTTAACTTTGTCTGGTGTAAAGCGTGCTGGGTGAGGTCACGAAGAACGCTGTTCACATAAAGAATGTGCTTGATAAGCTGGCAGTGGTGGCGCTCGCCTTTAATCCCAGCACATGGGAGGCAGAGGCAGGCAGATCCCTGTGCGTCCGAGGCCAGCTTGCTCTACAAAGAGTTCCAGGGCAGTCAGGGCTATTACACAGAGAAACTGTCTCAACCCTCCCCCTTCAAACAGAATGTGCTTGATAAACAATAAACAAAGTCTCTATGTCGCTCAGAATGCCCCTGAAATGTCTCGTTCTTTCTCTACCTCCCCAACAGTAAGATGGCAGCTGTGCGCCACCGTACCCTGTGTCTCAGTCAGGGTCACTACTACTGTGAGAAAACACGGATCTCTGAGTTATAGGCCAGCTTGGTCTATAACAGAACAGCCAGGGCTACATGGAGGAACCCTGTCTTGAAAAACAACAAATCTCTATCTATCTATCTATCTATCTATCTATCTATCTATCTATCTATCTATCTAGTATGTGTATGAGTATGGGCATGCACAGGTATGGGGATTGGAACAAATTTCTAGGGTCCTTTCTGTCCTCTTGCCATCAGACATGAAGAAACAGGTGCAGAATGAAACTAAGATGGCAGGTAATGGGCTATGTGGAGGGAAGTAGGCCAGGCCAGTATTGTCGGGTTAGAATAGCTGAGTATCTGCCCAGCTATAGTGTCTTAAGCTTATGATAAATACAATAGGTCTCTCTGTCATTATTCAGAGCAATGGTGAATACTACCCACTTTTTTCTTTTAAGTCAGGGTCTCACAATGTAGCCCTGGTTGGCCTAAAGGTTGCTATGTAAGCCACGCTAGCTTCATACTCACAGAGATCTGCCTGCTTCTGCCTCCAGTGCTGAGATCAAAGGCACTGTGCCACCATGCTCAGCTCTCCTCCCCCAACTCTTGAGCTATAGGAAAAGCTTTCAACTGTCGGGGTTTATTCTAGTATTTAACTCCATCATGAAAAGAATGTGATTTTGTCACTCTTGTCCTGCTTCCTGACTTTCTCATTTTAAATAAAGATCAGTTTGCACTTTCATACACAGCAATCCCACATGGGCCCCTCTACGCTCCTATAGGTGGTGACTTTCCTTCTGCATTTACATTAGGAATATTCTAAGTACAGTTCTAGAACACAACTCCTTTTTTTTTTTTTTTTTTGACTGTTGTTTGTTTTTGGCAGGATTTCTGGATTTCTGGTCTGGCCTCAAATTCAAGATCTACTTGCTCTACCTCAAGCACTGAGATTAGAGCATTCACTTGGATAGCCAGAAGGCATTTCCCTGACACCCATATATCTGAATAGTTTTTATCCATAAGCTTATATGTCTGTGACATTTGGAAGGCTGGGGAAGGAGAGCAGGAGTTCTAAGCCAGCTTAGCTACACAGCCAGACTCTCTTAATACTCATTCTTTTGGTGCTGCAGATGAAACTGAGAGGTATAGGACTTCATGGCTTAGCATGCATGAAAGCCCCGGGTTGGACCCCTAGCACCACAAAAAAAAAGGAAAAATCTGTTTTGCAAGAAAAATGAGTCATTTCAAGCCTATTACCACTATGGAGACAGGCAGTAGCATCAATTTCTGACCCAGGAATAGGGAGGCTAAAGCAGAGAGATGTTGAACTCAGAGGCCACTCTGGGCTTCATGTTAAGTCCTCATCTCAAAAAGCAAAAATAATAAAATAGCCAGCCAGGTTCAAGATCTGCCCCTTGTCTCAGTGACTTTCTGACTCAACAGTAAAGTTTGGAAAACCTGGACATCCCATTTCACTTATGAGGCTACAGTTACAATAAAGATCAGAAATGTCTGGAGCTATCAGTCACTGCACAACACACAGCAGGTGTCACACAAATGATAAACAGTTTCACAACTGTGTTTATCAGAAAAGCAATTGTCTCTTTTCATCAGAAAGGCAATTGTCTCTTTTCAACGCTTTATGAAAGAATTGTTTGTTTTTTAATCCTTATGGGTATGGCTGTTTTGCCTGCATGTATGTCTGTGCGTCACATATGAACAGAGACCATAGAGGCTAAAGAGGATGTTAGAGTTTTAGTGGTCATGTGGGTATTGAGACTTGAACCAGGTCCTTTGGAAAAGCAGACAGTTCTCTTAACTTCTGAGCTCTCTCTCTCGAGTCAAGAATTAAATTCTCAAAATGCATACAAGTGACTCAGCTGAGCAAGCTTTGAAATGCACAGATCAGACATACATCTAGATAAATGCTGTCAGATATGTGCTACCCATGATCAGACTTTAGTAAATTATGTGGGGTTTTCTTACCCTAAATTTTTGAAAATGGAGTCACGGCCTGCTCAGATTATTATGAATCAAGCCAGATTTGTCATGCAACTACCAAACAGCAGGAAGAGTGCCCTGATAATTCCTATTAGCAGCAGAGATTAAACATTAGATTCCAATGCTGGCACTAAGTATGGGGCTATCCCTTCCTGACACTAATCCTGTGGTAGGGGAATCACCTGGTCCTAATGTGTGATCTACTCTGACCTAATGCTAGTCGCGCTAGAAGGTTATCAGCATGCGATAGAGTTAATTATAAAATGGCCTATTTCCCTTGCTTCACACAATCACTGGAACCTCAACCTCTATGTTTAAATTTCCCCAACAGTTTAGCTAATTCCAAGAAAAACAATCATTTGAGGCCTAGCACCATAGACAATAAAACATTACCTCATGCTGGCTTTTCTTTACCGGTAGAAATAGAACTCCAAACTGTTTTCTGGTTCCTACTTCACATCGCTTAACATGACAAAACCTGGATGGCTGTATCTCACCAACTATCAGCTGAGAAATCCACTTTGAACAAGGAAAGAGCCATTGCATACACTAACTTAGGCTAAACAAAATGTTAGCAGAAGTACAGAGGAACTTTGTGTAGCCTGTTTTCATCCAGAACATCTGAAAAGTATAGCACCAACATTAAAAAAAAAAAAAAAATTTTTTTAAAAGCAACTGTAGTCAGGACAAAAAAAAAAAAAAAGGAAAACAGTATCTTTATTGTGTAGTTCTAACAAACATTCACAGTGTGCACATTCCAGTAGAAAGAGACAAAGATCTTTGTTCAAAATAAGCTGAAATCAAATAGGTAAACAAACTCCATCGTTGAATACACAAAAGGAATGTTAATATTAGTCACTCACAGTCCAGGGTGCAGTAAAAAGCGAGTTAAATAACTGAAATGATGTTCTGCCCAAGCAGCTGATATAGGCGTGGGCAAGGAGAGGCCGCTGACAATCATGAGTAAGACACTGGGCATAAAGGCAGGTGGCTGGCACATCTTCAAAGTCTCCCCTTCTAGAGGACCCCCACAGACTCCAGAGCTGGCCAAATATGATGGAGCCTTCTGTTACCTTTGGGGTATGTGGCAACTCAATAGCAAGCACAGCCCCAGAACCTTCGTTCTTGTTGAGACATGACATGTCTGAATGCACTCCCCCTAGGGGAAGAGGCAAAGAACATTTATGCTGTGCTTCAGACACCTCAGGTGGACTTCAGCCAGACAGGCATCACCAAAGACAGAAGCACAAATACCGTATGTGATTGACACATCTGGCTTGTAAAAGCACTTTTCACTGGGCCCCATCAGCGCTAAATGAACATAAGCCCCGATGGCAGCTGCTGAGCCAGCTCAAATGATCGATTTGGACAGACTTGCCTCTTCATAAGTAATCACACAAGGAGATATAAACACAGTCCATACACTCTGTCCTGTTGCTTTCTTTACAAATGTGCACATCACTTGGAAATGAAAACCAGCTCCCAGGGCCAGGTAGAAACTGTTAGAGAATGGGTATTAACAGCCTGTATCTTGGTAGCAAGAATTTCTCTCTTTTGTGTTCACCAGTTGTTACCTGTATGGTGTATGGTTAACAGCTGGCCACCTCAAGAATAAACAGCCAAATATTCCACAGGTCAGGGGATACTGTCAGCCAACAGGAACTGGCTCCCCATGGTCTTAGTGATGGTCTTCATGACCCTGAAATGTCAAGGCTTCTTTGACAAGTTTAGTGTTTTGTTTTGTTTTGTTTTTAATGCATTTGGTACAAATGCTGTATTGCTTTGTTGTTTAAGAAAAGCCTAGACAAACTCTCACCTAAGACATACCTCTTGTTTATATAGGCAATAGAATTACAACAACTAGACCTAAAAGGTTTTTAGGGTTTTGTTTTATTTTGAGGCAGTCTCATTATGTAGCCCTGGCTGGCCTGGAGCTTGCTATGTAGAATAGGCTGGCGTAGAACTCAAGAAAACTGTCTGCTTCTGCCTCCCAAATGCTGGGATTAAAGATTAAAAAATAAAAATAAAAAAAGGAGCAGCAGCATTTTTTATAATACAAAATGACATCACATTATCAGTAATTCAAAAGAAGCCCTGGGTATTAGATGAATTTCATGGATGGTAAAGAAGAAAGTATGAAAATATTTTCCTTCTGGCTCTCAGTTTAAAAAAAAAAAAAAAAAAAGCTCAGCTGTAAGAATATAAGCAGGAAAAGAACACAGATGTGAAGAAAAATAAGCCTTTTGTATTGATATTTACTGTAGGAATACCAAAACACCAATTTCACTTAAAAATACAGTTCTTTTATTGGGGTAGGATATGGTTGAGACAGGGTCCTTCTATGTAGTGCTGACTGTCCTGGAACTTGCTATGTAGACCAGACCTCAGCTCAGAGATCTTCCTGCCTCTGCCTCCCCAGAACTGGGATTACAGGTGTGCACCACCATGCCCAGCCAAAAATACATTTCTTTAACACTTCCCATAAGCCAGATGTTTTTCACTGGAAATGAAGATATTGCCAACATACATTCCCAACTAATCCAGGTTGTCTTCAGGTGTCAGCTTGACTGTTCCCTCCCGGCACTGCAATGTGCCTGTTCTTCCCCTCCACCCGGCATACTCCATGGAGCTTGGCTATCACCGCAAGTGGGTCCCAAACCTCCCTGCACACAAACCTTCCAAGCTTCTGTGAAGGTGTATTAACTACTCTTCCAATCCACTACACAATATTACAGACATTTTTAAAGATAAAAGTTTGATTAAGTCTGCATCCCTGATATAAAAGTCACCTAGAAATTACTCTAAGATATCATATGCAAGTACGCAAGGAAAAAGCTAACGTTGTTTTGATGAATTCTGAATTCATTCAACTTTTAAATCACAGGATACAAGTCCTGGGCTGAACTTTTTCTTAAATAGTTTGCTGGGGCAAACTGGTTTACTGTGCAGTTTCCTGTCCTGTCAAGCCCCTGGCAAGCTGGGAGGCAGGAGGATACTTTCCAAAATCTCTGGTCCTTCTGGAATTCAGTGACTTCCTGTTGGATATGACAGCAGCCCAGGAGCAGACTGGTAATGAACAAACCATGTAAAAAAAAAAAAAAAAAACCATAGATAACTAAAAAACACCTAGGGTACTGTCGGGTACCCCAAGCCAAAAAAATAATTCAGGGCGCCAGAAAAATGCCTGGACCAATGAGCAACAATAATTTTAAGTGATTACCTACTTTCCAATAAAATACATATCCAAGGAGGGAAGAAGCTTCCAGATTTATCATTATTATCCTCAGTAGAAAAGTAGGACAAAATCACCAAGTTGGAGCCAAGAAGGTAGAACACAGTTGAAAAAAGAGAAGTCTCAGCATGGTCTGAATCTAAAATGACATGCCTGCCAATTACATTTACATGTAAGCTGTTTAACTGAGATAAACGTGAGTTCAAACTTGAGTCTCCTTTAAAAACAGGGCATCACAACTTTGCTAATCAGAGAACAGAAAAGCAGCAAGAAGCTTCTGTGAGCCCTGTGAACATAATACAATTCCGTGAAACTCCATGGACAATCACACACTTATCTTTCACCACAGACAGCCAGGGTGGAAGATGGATAGAGACTTCTGTCAGACCAGAGGCTGCACGTTGCTAACATCTTAAACTGCTGTCCTGTAAATAGTGTTTGGTTCTCTTTTTAAAAGAGATCATTCTGGATTGGCCCTTCTTTGCCTCTACTGCCTCTAAGAAATCAAAGCGAAGCAGTTTTGTGAAATACTCTTGGGGAAGAAGATGATGGACTTAGGGATAGGAGGGATAGCTGCATTATCTGGGAGGAAGACAACCACATAGTTCTTCTTTATATATTTTTAAAAATTACAACTGGTGTGTGTGTGTGTGTGTGTATGTGTGTGTGTGTACACAACGGCCACAGCACACATGTGGAGGTCAGAGGACAATTTTTGGGAATTGGTTCTCTCCTTCTACCATGTGGGTCCAGGGAATCAAACTCAAGTTGTCAGGCAATTGCTTTTACCCAATGAGCCATCTTGCTGGCCTCTTTACTTGTAATAATCACAAATAAGATCATTTGGCAACTGTGTTTTAAATAAGAGATACATATCTTAACTTCATGAATTAAATCCCTTATGTTAAATGACAAGATTAAATCAGAATTTAAAAATTTAATTTAAAAAAAGGGAAAAAATTCAAAACTAGACTGCTATTTTAAATATGTCTAATGTGAATTCAAAATATCAGAAATCATATATTGTCCCCAAAAGGCCATTTCACTACAACACAGGAACTCTAAATCATTGGCATAAACTCTTGAAATGAAGAGAACAATGAAGACCAGAGAGGAGAAACCCTGGCAAGGGCACAGTGTGAGCAGGTGCTTTGAGCATCAGTCTCTGGCTGATGAAGGACTCTGGCTCTATATTGAAGGAAGACAGATACCTGGTCACCACCGTGGCTCCAAGAAAAAACAAACAAACAAACTGGCAGGATTCAAGGAGGATGCACAGCTGCAGCCTCCAAAACAAGTCTCTCCTTCTCATTCCCAGGAGCATGTGCTCCCACACTTCAGCATGCTCTTCTCAGGAGGATCTGCTGTCGGTCGTGAAGTGACGATACAGGAAACCTATAAGGATAGCCCCCACGATGGGGACAATCCAATAAGCCCAGCAACTAGAAAAGAAGGAAGAAAAGGCAATTAAAGTTAATACTTTGTCCAAATAATTGAATGTTTTTCAGCACCCATGTTTTAATACTCATGAAACAGGGTCTTGATTTATACTGATTTTCTCTTCATTAAGTGCTTTACCACACAGTATTTGAAAGGAAAAAAGCCAACTCCACATTTAATTGTGTATGTGCACACATGTGTCCCGGCATGGCATGATGTACATTTGGCGGTCAAAAGGTAACATGTAGGAGCTGGTTCTCTCCTTCTACCACGTGGGAACTTGAGTCATCAGACTTGGCAGGTGTCTTTACTTGTTGAGCTATCTTGCAGGACCCTAAAGCCCCACCCCCACCCCTTAAAAGGGGTGTTTTTTTTTTTTTTTTTTTTTTTAAAAAAAGGATCTAACTTGCAGGGCAAGGTTTCGTATGCCTTTAATCTCAGCATTCTGGAGGCAAAAGCGAGCAAATCTCTGCGAGTTCAAGACCATACAGTGACACCTTGTCTCCAACAAACAAAAAGGATGTGGCTTAGTGGCACAGTGCTCATCTACCATGCACAAGGCCCTGACTTTGAACCTGAGCACCAAACACAACAAAAACAGAATGCATAGTAAGCTATCAAAACATACAACAAGCTGGACACAGCGGTGCATGCCCTCAAACCCAGCACTCTGGTGGCTGAGGCAGAAGAACTGCTGTAACCTAAAGGCTATCCTGGGCTACACTGTAAGTGCCAGCCTAGCATCAAGTATGATCAAGATGCTGTCAAGAAAGCAAGCAAACAAAAAAAACCAGAACAACAACAAACATACATGGATACAGAAATTGTGGTACTTTTACCCAATGGAATACTACTCAGCAATTAAAAACAAGGAAATCATGAACTTTGCAGGCAAATGGTGGGATCTAGAAAAGATCATCCTGAGTGAGGTAGCCCAGGAGCAGAAAGACACACATATTATATACTCACTTATAAGTGGGTACTAGACCTATCAGATAGGATAAACATACTAAAATGTGTACACCTAAAGAAGATAAACAAGAAAGAGGACCTGGGGTAAGATGATCAATCTTCACTTAGAAAGACAAATGGGATGGACATTGGAAATAAGAGTAAACAAGTAACAGGGCATTGTCATTTCTATGAAAAGTGTCCTATATCAACGCTGATAAACACTGCTCCCCAATCATCTCTGATTAGATAATAAAGAAACTAGAAACAATGACCGGGCAGAAAGGACAGGGAGGGTGGATTTCCATTTGAAGTTGAGGGGTCTTAGGTAGAGGGAGAGAAAGGACATGGCCACAAGGAGCTCGCCATAAAGGCTGACCTGATGGAACAGAAGCAGCCCAGGCAAGACCCATATGGCAAGTAATTCAGGGCACATGGCTGGAAAATAGATGGGTTAGAATAGATAATTATCTGCCCACCTCTAATGCTTTAAAGCTTGTTGAATAAATCTAATAGGTCTCTGTATCATTATTTGGGAGCTACAGTGAGTCATTAGAAAAGGCCACCAAATTATAGCATAAGTTTACTTTAAATATATATTTAAAAAAACTTAAAATAATTTTTAATGTGTATGAGTGCTTGGTCTGTATGTCTGTACACACTTGCATGCCTTTTGACCGAGAAGACAATAAAAGGGGTCACATACTCTAGAACTGAATTACAGATGATTGTGAGCTGCCCTGGAGGCCCTGGGTACTAAACCTGGGTCCTCTAGAAGACCAGTGAGTGCCCTTAACTGCTAAGGCGTCTCTCCAGCCCCCTTAAAACAATTCTTTTATTTTTAATAATTTACTTATTTTTATTTTATTGCATTGGTGTTTTGTCTGCATGTGTACCTGTGAGAGGGTGTCAGATTTTGGAGTTACACAGTTATGAGCTACCATGAGGGTGCTGGGAACGGAACCTGGTGCTCTTCTCCTATCTGCCGAGCCGTCTCTCCAGGCCTGAGAACAATTCCCTAATGGAGCTTCTTAGCCCTGCCCAGCTTAGACTACAGGCTTCTTATGACCCAAATGATCCGGCTGCCCTCTACTTAAGACATATCTAGTCTTCGAATGAGAAAAGTTCCAAGCCAATAAAACCAGCTGAGACTGTTTTGGGGGGGGGGGGGGTTGTGTTTGTTTGTTTTGTTTTTGAGACAGGGTTTCTCTGTGTAGCCCTGGCTATCCTAGACTCACTTTGTAGACCAGGCTGGCCTCGAACTCAAAAAGATCTGCCTGCCTGTGCCTTCCAGAGTGCTGGGATTCCAGCCATGCACCACTGCACCCGGCTCCAGTGAAGACTGTTATTAAAAACATTCTTTGCCTTAACATACTTAGCACAGTATACACAGAAGTGCAGAGGACAGTTGCCACCAACCCTCACCTTACTTTTGCTATTGTTTAAGTGCCACTGTGAAGACAAACAGGAATTGCATTTCCACTGGACTCAACGAAACTGAGCACCAATAACACCAATAACTTTGTGTCAGAGACAGCATTTTCTTCTTGGAGATTTACCCAGGTAATTGCAAATAATTGTGATTTGTTAAATTTTTATTAGTAACATTTTACCATATGACTATACTAGAACTCATTACTGAGTAAATATTTGAAAATTTTCAATGTTTGAATGTCTTAAATAATGTTGCTATAAACATTTATTTGTTTGTTTATTGGTGTTGAGGCAGGGTTTCTCTGCATAGCCTTGAACTCACAACAATCTGCCTGTCTCTGCCTCTGCAAGTGCTGGGATTAAAGGCACAAGCCACCACACTTAGCTTAAACTTCTTTTTTGTTGTTGTGTTGTTTTGAGACAGGGTCTCACTATATAGGGCTGGCTGGCCTGGAGCTCACTCTGTAGCCCATGCTGATATTGAACTAACACATATCCACCTGCCTCTGCCTCCCAACTTCTGGGATTAAGGTATGTGTCACCACACTTGAAAAAATTAATTTTTTACAGTTTATTTAGTTTATGTACAGGTGTTTTGCCTAAATGTGTGTATGTGCACCACATGTGTCTGGTGCTCTCAAAGGTCAGAAGGTGTAAGATCCCTAAAACTGTAGTTACAGCTGGTTGTTAACTGTCATGCAGGTGCCAGAAGCAAACCTGGGTCCTCTGCAAGAACGGCCAGTGTTCTTCACCACTGCGCCATCTCCCAGCCCCAGGTATAAACATTTGTATCTGTTTCCTTGTACCTTACTTTTAAGCAATAATCTTATGATGTTGCCAAGGTTGGTCTCAAAACTGTTGGATCACGCGATCCTTCCCAGTAACTGGGAACACAAAGCAGGCACACTGTGCCCTGGTCTGTGACAGGTTTCTATTACAGGTCCCATAGAAAAGGAATTGCTGAACTCAGTGGCGGCCTCTTTGACCACCTCCCTCCTCTGAGGGAGGAGCAGCCTTGACAAGCCACAGAGGAAGACAATGCAGCCAGTCCTGATGAGACCAGATAAACTAGGGTCAGATGAAAGGGGAAGAAGACCTCCTCTATCAGTAGACTTGGAGAGAGGAATGGGAGATGAGGAGGGAGGGTGGGAATGGGAAGAGATGAGGGAGGGGCTACAGCTGGATACAAAGTGAATAAACTGTAATTAACATAAAAAAAGAAATGGAATTGTTAAGTCAAAAGTTATTCATACTGTAGATTTTACTAGAGACTGCCAAAATGTTCTCAGAGTCAATGTTCCCATTAACACTCCAGAGGAGGGCTGAGAGTCTTGGTGAAGTTGTAGGTTTGTCCACCCAGGTGTAAAATAGACCTATGAGTTTTTAATAATAATGACATTAAGCCTTTTGCCACATGCTTATTTTTGTGTAAACTACTTAAATGCAAATCTTTGTAATACTGTATTGAGATATTTTTAATTCTTTATGTATTTTGAATAGATAATAATTCTTTTAAAAACACTGACTCTGAAAATTCCATACCTTCATATAATATTTTGATGTTATCCTCCCATCATTCTCCTCCTCCAACTCTCTCTAGGGCTTCCACCCTGTCTCCCTCTCACCTTCACACCCTCTTTTTAAAAATAATTAATACCAGGCTGGAGGCATAGCTCAGAAGTTAAGAGCACTGACTATTCTTCTAAAGGTCCTGAGTTCAATTCCCAGCAACCATATGGTGGCTCACAACCACCCATAATGAAATCTGGTGTCCTCTTCTGGCACACAGGCCCACATGCAGGCAGAATACTGTATAATTTAAAAAATAAATCTTAACAACAAAAAAATTAATACCCTCCTCTCTCCCAAAACAATCAGTGCTGCCCATATCTCCATACGAATTATTTGCTTTGATTTTTTTTTTTTTAATTTTTTATGTATATAGCTAGCCGGTACTGGCACATGTCTTCAATCCCAACACTCAGGAGAGAGAGGTAGATGGATCTCTGCATTTGTGGCCAGCCTGTCTACAGAGCAAGTTCCAGGACAACCAGAGTTGCACAGTGAAACCCTGCCTCAAAACAAATAAGCAAACAAATTTTATGGATATATTTTGCCTACATGTTTGTCTACCATGTGCATGTCTAGTGTCCACAGAGGCCAGAAGAGGGCATAAGACACTCCCCACACCCATGCTAAAGTTAGAGATGGTTGTGAGCCACCATGTAGGTTCTGGGTCTCAAACCCAGATCCGCTAGAAAAACAGCCCGTGCTCTTCACTGCTGAGCCATCTCTCCAGCCTCAAGAGATCCATATTTAAAAAGAACCTCTTGCCAGACATTATGTAGAGTATAAAGAAGCCCATGAGGGAGATACTAACCTTTTGCATGTACTGCTTCCTGAAGGATCCTGAAGAAGTCACATGTTCAAAAATAACAAAAAGAAAACATTAGTATAGTGCATGCAAGTCTTCTTGGATATCCAGATAAAGAGTAATGTAGATAGTAATAGATACTTCTTCATGCATTTTGATGCCTACAGTTTCTAGGCAAAGGCTAGACTTGGAATCTTTTCCTTCTAATAACACATTGATATTTTTTAGTGAAGAATCACTAAGGAGAACATAGAAATGACCTAATTTTTTTTCATGTAAAAATGTCAATGATAAACTCTATTGAAATAGACTAATATTTTGAGTCACAATGACAGGCCTATTAACCAGACTTGTCACCAGCATAGCTAAGATCAGATTTCCTGAAAACATTTTTTAAAGTCCTCTCTTGCAAAACTACCTATCAGCTATCAAATACTCCTGGATATGCAGACTGCTGCTACATGGCTTACAGAAATGACCCTGTTTTGGCCTCCACAAGCATCATGTGTGCATGTGGTACACTGACATGCAAGCAAGCAAAACACACAGACACATAAACATAAATAAATACAATCTGGGGAATAAAGAGCAATGAATTGCTGATGTATGTGACAACATGAATGACCTTCAAAATATTATGCTATGCTAATTGAAAAAGGGCAGACACAAAAGACCACCTGTTATATAAGTCCCTTTATATGGACAGTGAGTTGAAACAGAAACTAGATCAGCAGTTGCCTCAGGCTGGGCAAAAGGGCCGCAGAAGTAAATGGAGTATGGCTGCTAAGAGGTCAATGGTTTCTTTTTGGAGTGATCAAGTTGTTCTAAGATTGATTGTTACTTTACAGTGCCATGAGTGAACCAGAAACACTGTCATGCAGATGAATACATACTTCAAGCCTGAAAACACAGATGGAGTCTACATGTCAAACCTTTTATACTTTTTTTTTACAACCAAAGTTGTGATATGTGCTAAGTACAGTGAGCCTTGGACTGCCTCACAAGTAAGGAGGAAGACTGATATGCTGAGGTAGTAATTATTTCTAACAAATAAGAAATAGTGTAAAATGTCATGTTTTTTGTTGTTGCTGCTTGGTTGGTTGGTTTTTAAATAAGTACAGTAAAGTACCCCTGTTTTAAGAGCAATCTGTTCCTGGAGGAGAAAAAGAACTTGCCTAATGCACTGGAGGCATGAAGAGAAAGCATCTGCTCCCTTCAGCACAGTGACAGTAAAGTAAATGCTTAGCTGTGGCCCCATTTTTAGTCAGAAATAATAAGAGATATTTAAGGCAGATCTACTGACAGTCAAGTCCTTCAGTCAGTTTAGAAAGAAGCCACCTAAGTTTAGTTTAGTTTAGTTGGTCAATTTTTTTATAACGTCTGGGTGCTGATTATAACAGGACTTTCTTCAGACTGTCAGCTCCCAAAAAATGACACAGAGAACTCTTACTAAACCAACCAAAGGGTTTTGGAGGGAAGTACTTACACAATATGATGCATCCATAAGAATAATGACCAAAGTCTGGCCTGTACTCAGATCTCTGCTGGTACAGACATCATTATTTGAATAACACAAAGACAACCTTGACACAGTGCACAAAAACACCACCCCAACACTGTTTCTCAATTTTATAAAACTAAAAAGAAAAAAACTTTTTTGCCTTCTCACACACTTCTTACAATCCTCATCTCCATGTCTACAGGCTACATGAATTTAGTTTATTCCTTTTGGTGTCCAGGCCCATGTGGCTGAGTAAGTCCACGCATAGATGTTGGTGCTCTACACCTTTCATATGGGAAGTAGCAACAGCAACACAAAAAATTTAGTAATGAGAGATCAGATCAAATCCAAAGCTCTTCCAGCACAAGCCCTACCACATAATCAATAAGCAGGCTTCTTTATTTTCCAAGGACTATATTGCAAACAACATAATTTCTGAGTGTACTATTATTTTAGCCCAATATTATTAATAATTAAAATTAACTGTTTAGCTGAGCATGGTGACACACCTGTAATTCCAGCAGTTGGGAGGTAGAAGCAGGAGGATCAAGAGCCCAAGGCCAGCCTGGGAGATGAGACTCTGTCTCAACAACAAAAGAAAATAAAACAAACTGATTCCTGGGCTGAGGCTAAAGCTTAGTCAATAAAATGCCTGTTGCATGAGGACCTAAGTTTGGATCCCAGAACCCACATAAAAGCCAGACACGTTGGTGTGTGTCTGTAACCCTGGAGCTGGGGATGAGGAGAGAAGTGGAGTTCCAGAGCTCGTGGGCCAGCTATTCTAGCCAATCAGTGAGTTCTGAGTTTAGTGAAAGACCCTGTTTCAAAGACAAATAAATAATAAATTTAAAACAAAACAAAACTCATTTCTAAAACAGAAGGTATTAAAGGTTCAATTACTCATAAAATCAACAAGTAAATAGATTTTTATGAAGAGTAATACTAAAGATGGGATTTGTAGAGTAAAGGAAATATTATATACCCAAGAGTCTTAGTTAGGGTTACTATAGCTGTGATAAAACACCGTGACCAAAACCAACTTGAAGAGGAAAGGGTTCATTCCCACCCACGGTTCCATACATCAGTGCATCATCAAAAGTAATGAGGGCAGGGACTTACACAAGGCAGGAACCTCGAGGCAGGAGCAGACGCAGAGGCCATGAAGGGGTGTTTCTTACTGGCTTGTTCCACATGGCTTGCACAGCCTGCTTGCATATAGAACCCAGGACCATTAGCTTGGGATGGAACCACGCACAATGGGCTGGGCCTTTCCCCATCAATCACTAATTAAGAAAGTGACCTACCTACACTGTACGGAGTTATTTTCTTTTTTCTTTCTTTTTTTTTTGCTTTGTTTTGTTTCACTTTTGGAGATAGAGCTTCTCGGTGTAGTGCCGGCTGTCCTGGAACTTGCTCTGTATACCAGGCTGGCCTCAATCTCAGAGAATCACCTGCGTCTGCTTTCCTAGTGCTGAGATTAAAGTAGTGTGCCATTACCACCTGGCCCCTTTTTTTCAATAAAAACTTTATTTTATTACTGTTGACTATGAGTATATTATGGATATGTGTGAGTATGTGTATTAAGCCCTAGGAGGCTAAAAGAGGATATGGAGTCCCTTGGGGCTGGAGGTACAGGCTGTTGTGAGCTACCTAATACGGATGCTGGGGACTGAACTTCAGGCCTCTGAAAGAGCTGCACGCACTCTGAACTGTTGAGCCATCTCTCCAGTCCCAGATACTTTTTCTGGATGAAAATACAGTTCAATAATTACTATCTCACAAAGTAAATGTCCCTGTAGTCAGTCTAGTTATATATAAAAGTATTTCCCTGTTGACAAAAAAAAATTTCAAAACAAGAAACATTCCCTCATACAAATTTCTAAATTCTCTTAAGAACTTACTATCTGACTCATATTAAGAAAGTGTCTCAAAGTAACAACAAAAAAAGAACCCACTGTGATAATACATATAACAAATCATTGAAAACAAAACAAAAACCTAGGGGTAGAGTTCAGTTGGTAGAAGCCCTGCGTTTCATCACCACCATTTTAACAAGGCTTGGTTGCCCACACAAGTGATCCCAGAACTTGGGAGGTGTAAAAAGAGCATGAAAAGTTCAAGGTCATCATCTTCTATGTGGAGAGTCTGAGGCCAGCCTCACCCTAAATGTGACTCAGCAATTCTATTGGAAAGCATGAAAGGTATTCATTCCTGGCTCATGCCTCAGTTTCTGTCTAGAACATCATAAGAAGACATTAATCTGTGACACTGCTCAGAAATCAGCACTTTTCTTTTCTTTTTGGTTTTTTGAGACAGGATTTCTGTATGTAGCAGAGATCTGCTAGCCTCTGCCTCCCAATCGATCGGATTAAAAACATGCGCTACCACACCCCATTCAGCATTTTTTCTTTTCTTTTGTTTTTTTTTTTTTTTTTCAAGACAGGGTAGCATTTTGTTTTTCAAGAGTGATAGGCCATGACATTTTTATGCTCAATTTCCTAAGACTATAAATGTCTGAAACTATAGGAAGCACTGATATAAGCAGATAGAAGTTCTTGGTCAGTAGCAGTTACTAACTGTCCCTATGAGGCCTCATTCCAAGTTAGGTGGTTGAAACAGGAACAGGTTCTTATGTAGCCCAGGGTGTAGCTAAGAAGTCTTGAAGTACTGATTCTCTTATCCCCACTGTCAAGTCCATGTATTCTCTTTTTATTATTTTTTACTTTTGAACACAAGAGTCTCATCATATGGCATCACCATACCTCAAAGAGCAAAATTATTTTTAATTCTAACTAGTCATTACTGACTAAAGCCAGGCGTCATGGCACACCTTTTATTTCAGCACTTAGGATGCAGAGGCATGTAGATCTCTTTGAGTTCCAGGCCAGCCAAGGCTACAGTGAGACCCTGTCTCAAAAACAAAAATATCTGTTGTCAGATTTGAATTACAAATCTTTAAAAAATTTATAATGTAGTATATCCAGGATATTGACTAAGCTATTACTGAGCTACAATAAAGCAATGGTGAACACTATCACTTATTTGCTTGTGCTAAAGTAAAAGTGACATGAAAAGCTGTTTCTAATAAAACTGAGAAATAAGGACTGGGCATGGTGGCCCATACCTAGAAGTGAAGACAGGAGGATCAAGAGGTTCAAGGTCATCCTCAGCAGATACAGCAGACCCAGGCTAGCAGGCAAACAGAGAAGTCGGAATGGAAACTAACTTCTACTACTAGAGAGACATTTAAGTGTTTGGTTTTGTCCCTGTCCCCAACAACAAGCCAAATGTAGAGGCTGTGTGAAGGTGGGAGGGAAGTGACACAAAGGTCAAAGGAGCATGAAATGTAAAGCTCTACCCCATAACAGGAAGGCTGTGCTTAATGAAGGTTAAAAAAAAACATTTTTTTGCCTGGCAGGAGTGGCGCATGCCTTTGATCCCAGCACTTGGGAAGCAGAAGCTAGAAGATCTCTGAGTCCAAGGCCAGTCTGGTCTACAGAGTGAGCTCCAGGACAGCCAGGACTACACAGGGAAATCCTGACTCAAATCAATCAATCAATCAATCAATCAATCAATCGTTTTTTACAGATTCAGAAACCCTGAACACAGGAAAGGAAACTGGTTAATAAAATGAGTTTCCCTCCTACTTGGTGAAGAAAAAAGATCCCTGCATCCTAGGATTGAAGTGCCTATTAGAGCCTCTGTGAGAAACCAGACTGCTTCTCAGCCTTTTGACTAACATCAAGCATAGAAATAAACCTGAGGGATCACGAATTTCTTCCTGGAAAAGAAATCAGTTTGGAATATAATTCTATGAAAACCTGGTAGGTAGTCTTGAAATTTTTCCAAAAGGCTTTCTCGGCCTAATCTGCCTGAAGGGTAACAGACAGCCTGACTGGAAACAAACAACAACCACAGTCTTCCTGATGGAGACAAGTCCCTCGGGAACAAGGAGCTGGAGAAAAACAGGCTTGAAAGCACGGCTTTCGGTCCCTCGCCAACCTAGGATCAGGCTATCCTACATTCCCAGCTCTAAACTTTCATACTATTTGGTGAGCTGAGGAGGCTTTTTTTCTGATTTTGCAGGAAAAAGAAAAAAAAAAAAATTCCAAGGCCTCGGTTTTATTTCAGGTGATCGACCTCTAATTGTTTGGCTTATAAGGCAGGCAATCCTTGCACTGAAGCTAATTCAGTGTCCCTGGGATGTCCTGCAATGGCAGGAACATCATTCAGCACAGAGTGTGGTGCTTGGCTTCCTTCCTATCACCTCGGCTGTTCAAAATGCAAACCCAGGTCCACTCCAGAGACTCTGAACAGGAATAGTGGAAGCCCAGGAAATGAATACTTGATTTGTATTTTCACGTTCATCCCAGGGGAGCCCAATTTGGGTTGTGTAAGAAACAGAATTTCTAAAAAACTGCTGTCCAGTCCCCACAAATGTCCTGCCTCCTGTATTAGCAATAAGAAAATATGCAACAAGAAACAACTGACAGATTTCTAGACACTGTAACTGCAAACATATTTTTCTATTGTTTTAGCATAAAGAGTGCTTTCATGACTGGTGGAAAAATGAGTGAAGACTCCTAGGTTGAAAAATTGAAAAGTATCCATTAAATGAAATGTTAAACTCTGAGGGTGGCATTTTCTGGACATGTTTAGGTAAGACTATGATTAGCTCAAATTTTACCTTACTGTCACTAGAAGATTCAGAATGGGTAAAGAATGAGGAGGGAAAGGCAAAACCAACCACCAGTGCTTACAAACATTTAAAGAACCTTTTCATCTGCCTTTCGTAACTTAACAGTTCAGAGTGGCAGAGGAGCAAGACAGGAGAGATAATTTATATACACACCCTGGATTTCAGGGCAACAGAAGACAGACACTGGCAAGCAAGCAACCTCTTGAATTGAAAGAATTCTTGTGCCCAGGCCAATCTAAATTGCTGTGTCAAACCTGCTCATTATTTCCTGGCTCACTGAAGAATAAGACTCTAGAAAGAAGAAGGGGGAGTCTCTTCTATTGTGCCCAGGATGAGCTAGGAAACACCCTTCAAGTCAGAGGACATGGAACTACATTCTAAAGGGTAAGAGTCAAGGAAGAGAACACTGGGTGGGTGAGTGGGTGGGTGAGTGTGTGTGTGTGCGTGTGTATGTGTGTGTGTATGTGTGTGTGTGTGTGTAACACAGACTTGCTTGTGGGAAATAGAGAAGGCTTTCATGCTTTCTTCTTTGTACATAAGCAAGGCCAAGCACATTAAGGTCTTCAAATACTCAAACAATAAAGCTTTTGTATCAGTGAGTAAACTGGGAAAGGCTTGGGACAATTTGAACATATAGGATTTTAAAAATTAATATGAGGAAATGGGAACAGAAAGGAAGGCTCTTATATTACAGATAAAAAAAAGATATTTTGTAATCTTGTAGAAAAAGTTTGTTTGGTTGGTTGGTTTTCGAGACAGAATTTCTCTGTGTAGCCCTGGCTGTCTTGAACTCACTTTGTAGATCAAGCTGGCCTAAACTCACAGAGACCTGCCTGCCTCTGCCTTATAGGTGTGTACCAGCATGCCCAGCTAGAAAAACATTTTAATCAGAATATTTATCATCTGTTTTATGTAAGAATTTCCCAAACTCAACTCATAAGCTAATTTCTTTCAGAAGTACAGTAAACATGTTTTGGAGTATCAATACAAAAGCGTACACAGGATGACAATGCTTCTTCCTGGGCTGAGGTGCTGGGATTAAAGGCATGTATCACCATACTCTGGGTTTTTTTTAGCTTTTATTTTATGTGAATGGGTGTTCTGCCTACATGAATGTCATTCGTGGATCAGCAGAAGCCGGAAGAGGATGTTGGATCCCTGGAACTGGAGTTGTAAATAATTTTGAGCTCCCATGTAGGTGCTGGGAATTGAACCCCAGTCCTCTGGAAGAACAATAGTGTTCTTAACCACTGAGCCATCTCTCCAACCAGTTTTAACTTCTCTTATTAAAATTACTTTTAAAGGCAATTCTACTCAACTAGAAATACTTGAAACACACAAGACAAAGGCATGACTTCTTACCTTGTTACCACCTTTAGGCTTAAGGTCACTCTGTTTAAAAAGAGAGAAAAAACAATGTTCAAGATGCATGTAAATGAACTCTAGCAATGTGTTAGTTCCTATCCTTCAGAGATTTCAGGGTCTGAAGAAGGGGCCCAGCTCCACCCTTGAGCATATCAGGATCCCCTATTAGAATGCTAAGCACAAAGGACTCACAAGTCCACAGTAAACACCTTTAGCAAGAGACCTGCAAGAATAACCAAACCACGATTTAAGGAACAGGTATTATTAATTACAATAATACAAGACTCAATCAATAAAAGTAAGACAAAAACCAGTTCCCTTGGCTTTTCAGATACTATGTGCTACACAGGATGGCTTGCTGATTCTGGAGAAAACCTGGCATGGGAGATAGCTGAATGAATTTCTACTCTAAATAATTCATTCTCTCATCCTGTTAGTGGCTGTCCAGTGGTTTTCTCTGCATAAGTGTCTGAGTTCTATGACAATTCTTACCGGATGGACATCACCAATGTAGTACTGCTTTAGCATTTCCCTGGCATCAGGGGAGTGGCCAACATCTTCAAAGCTTTCAGTTGCATCTGCACCAGCTTGTTCCAACAGAACCTCTTCCCCACCAGGATGCTACAAGGAAATGGCATTTGCTAAATAGAGGCTCTCTGAAAAGCAAAGTGAAGTTGCTTCTTTCCTTCCATCACCATTCTTCCTTTCCCGTCTCCCTTTTACAGAATAAATTGTGTACCACCTGTGAGGGTGCATCAGGAAGAACACAACAGCATTTTCTACAATATTCTGTACCAAATTGTATAATATGTGTATTAATTGATTTCCTTTGTCAACAGTAATACTGCAACAAAACAACAAACCCACAAGTAAGAACTCCAGAATTTCTGGAATTCTTTATTCTACTCTTGACATTTTTCTTTCTTCTTCTTCTTCCTCCTCCTCGCCCCCACCACTCTCTTTTTTGAGATGGGGTCTCATGTGGTACAGTTGATCTGTTGCTCCATATACAGCCCAGGTTGACCTTAAAAGCCTGATCTTCCTGCGTCCTGGGATTCTGGGTGTGAGCCACCACATCCAGATTAGTGAGGTGCTGGGGACTGAACCCAGGGCCCCATGCATGCTATGCAAGCACTCTCTCCCAACTGAGCTATGTTCTTGCTCATTCCCTCTCTCTCTTCCTTCTTTAAAAAAAAAGAAATCTATTCTCTTGTATATGTGTGTACAAGTGCAGAAATTCCTCCTGCATCAGCTTCCTCAATGATTATTCTTACAACTTTGCTATAAGTCTAAAATTGTCTTCCTGTTTTTGTTTTTGTTTTTTTGAGATAGGGCTTCTCTGTAAGCCTTAGCTGTCCTGGAAGTTACTCTGTGGACCTGGCTGTCCTCAAATCCACAAAGATCTACCTGCCTCTGTTCCTCAAGTGCTAGGATTAAAGACATGCACCATTACTGCACTTCTTTAAACTGTTCTTAAACAAAAATAGATAAATAAATAAGTAAATAAATATATAAATATATAAATGAGTAAATAAATAAGTACGTAGGTTGGGCAGGGGAAGTATGTTCTATAATTATTTTACCAAGGACTGAGATGTCTTTGTGCCTGCATTTATAAAACAGAAATACTGAGAGTGCCTATGACAGCTGGTGCTATTACACTGATAGACTCCAAACACTCAGCACTGGGGGATGGCTCAGAGGAGAAAGCCTGACAACCTGATTTTGATCCCTGGAACCTATGAAGAGAAGCAATTTCTAAAAGTTGTCCTCACTTTCTTCCACACTCTACAGCAACGTGCATACACATAAACTAATAAATAAATTAAAAAAAAAACTTGGCACCTGCCAGGCATGATGACACATACTTTTTTATCCCAGCATTTGGGAGGTAGAAGCAAGCAGATCTCTAATTTCCAGGCCAGCCTGGCCTACAGGGTGAGTTCTAGGCCCTTCAGGGCTGCAGAGAGGCCCTGTCTGAAAACAGACAGACAGACAAAAGGCCACCTGGAAATGCCAGAAGGGACTGCGGCGGCTGCACAAGGTGATCACCCGTCTTTTGAGACTGTATTCACCAAGTATTGCTTATTCCAAAACATTTATTATTTTATTTTTTAATTTACTATTTATTTACTTACTTATTTTTGGTTTTTTGAGACAGGGTTTCTCTGTGTAGGCTTAACTGTCCTAGACTCCGGTTTATAGACCAGGCTGGCCTCAAACTCAAGAGATCTAGCTGTCTCTGCCTTCTAGAATGCTGGGATTACAGGTGTGCATCATTGCACCCAGCTCCAAAACACTATTTTCTGAACTAACACTTAGCAGTTCCTGACTTCAATACTCAGCAAACATTTGCTTGTTAGCAAATCTGGAATTTTCATTAACACACCCAAACCTATGTTTCTGAGATACTAGTGTTTTTTTTTTTTTTTTAATTAGTTACTTTTTATAATAACCACTTAAGCAGCACTAATATTTTAAAGATTAATTCAAGAGAAATACAAAGCCTTTCAAAGTCACCTGCCAATCACGGTCACTTACTCACCAACTCCCTGAGGATCAGAAAGCTTCTGTTTGGTCTCCTAAGAGGTTCCCACCCAGCAGAGCCCAGCATTTAAGCTAGTTTAGTGCAGGAGCGCGAACGCCACCACACAGCTGTCTCATCTGGAGAGAAAGACATCACTGCATAGGGGACTGCCTCCCAATTTGCTCTATGTCTAAACTATGGGAAATATTCTCCCTTACGGCATAGTTAACAAACAGGCTTTCACAGAAAGGATATGACAGGTCTGGTGGCACAGACCCATAACCCCCCCGCATCTCAAAGGGCTGAGGCAAGACATCCCAAATCAAGCCAGCTGGTGCAACTTTGTCAACTCCTCTATCAAAGTAAAAAGCAAGCAGGACATGGTGGTACACACCTTTAAACCCCAGCACTCAGGAGGCAGAGGCAGGTGGATTTCTGTGAGAACTTAAGAGATGCCATTACAACTGAGTAAAGCTGGGAGAGCAAGAGGTAGTCCTCCCTAGGGAAGGATACCCCAATTGGCTGCCCAGTGCCAAATGGTCATCCCTGAAAACATACATACATACATACAGTAACATTATACAGCTTTGACAGGTTGTTTTTAGGAATATGTATGTATATACAAATCTATACATGCCTACAATAACATATACATTATATGCCTACATATACATATACAACAAATCTATACATTCCAACAATAATGAAAAAGAGGCCACAAATTTGAAGGAGAACAGAAGGGGTATATGAGAAGGTTTGGAGAGAGACATGTTTTAATTAAAATACAATCTCAAAAATGAACAACAAAGCTTGAAAAATGATTGTTAAAAAAATAAAAATAAAAAAGAGTTGCCCTTAACGTGGTAAGTACTGTTTGAAATGGAGTCTCTCTGAACAAGAGGGAGGCTACATGAGATGTGTATGGGCAACAGGACCATTCTTTCCTGAGCCCTGAAAATAGAAAACAGAGGAAATAACAAGTGTGTGGAAGGAAAAGGCCAACTCAAAAACGTCTTGGGGGCTCAGCTGTTAGGAGGAAGTATTGCTCTTGCAGAGGACCCAGGATCAGTTCCTAGCACACACATTGTGATTCATAACCATCCAGTTACAGGGGATCCAATACCTTCTGACCTCTGCAAGCACCAAAGCACACATGTAGTACACATACATACATGAAGGGAAAACACTGACATATAAAATAAATGAATAAACAATAAAAATATCATGTAAAATGTATTTGGGGAGGGGGGTCTTACTATGTACCCTAGCTGTCTAGGAACTCACCATGTAGTCCTTGAACTCAGAGATCCACCTGCCTCTGACTCCCCAGTGCTGCAATTAAAAGTGTCCAGCTTAAAATAAATAAATAAATATAAAATGTTTCAGGGCTAAGAGATGGCTCAGTGAGTACAGCGCTTATCCCACATGTGTGAAAAACCAGATGTCATGTAAACACTACGTGGCATGGCAGCCTGCTTGTAACTCCAGAGCTGGAGGGACAGAGATGAGGGATCGCTGGAGCACGCTGGCTACCCAGACTAGCCATATAGGTGAGCTTCAAATTCAACTGAGAGATCCTGCTTCAAATTAAGAACGACTCTCAAAGTCAGCTTCAGCTTCCACACACCTGCATACCTACGCACAAAGAGTACATGCAAATATACCCACCACATCACAGTAAAAATGTGTTAACTTTTTTTTCCTGTTAACTCTAGAAACAACAGGCAGAGAAAGGGAAAAAACCTGAGCTACTGATAAAATACTTTTAAAAACCTTTGGAAGAGGGCTGGAGAGATGGCTCAGCGCTTAAGAGCACTGTCTGCTCTTCCAGAGGTCCTGAGTTCAATTCCTAGCAACCACATGGTGGCTTTCAACCAATCTGTAACGAAATCTTGACTCCCTCTTCTGCTGTGCATGAAAACAGAATTCATAAATCTTTAAAAAAAAAAAAAAAAAAAAACCTTTGGAAGAGGATTTATGTGCAGTCAGCCCAAAATTTAAGTATAACAAACTATTTTTGTGAATAAACACCTTACATATTTATATTTGTGTTGATATTTTTATCATTTTCTTTACACAGTTCATAATTTTCATTATTAAAGATTTATTTTAACTATAGATAAGCAAATGAAATTTCCCTGTTCATTTCAACCGACATAAAAAACAAATGGGTCAAAATTTTATTCACAAAAATTCTTGTTAGCATGAATACCTAGCTAGTGCCAGGACAGACTCAGCAAATTTCTATCTCTGAATACTAAGGAAAAATAAATGACTCTAATATATTGCTATATTCTCAAGTGTTTTCAGGATCAAAGAAGGGTTATATTACAAAGGTTCCTGCCTCAGAGTTAAGAATCTATCAAACTGGAGCTGGAAAGACGGTTGAGCAGTTAAAAGCACTGGCTGCTATTCTAGAGGACCCAGATTTTGTCCCCAACATTCACATGGAGGGTCACGACTGTCTGTAATTCCAGTTTCAAGAAAGCCGGTGTCTTCTTCTAGCCTCCTCAGACACCAAGCACACACATATGGTGCATAGACATACATGCACGCAAATACCCATACACATAAAATAAAAAATTTAAAATATATATCAAATCCACAGGAAGATTAATGTTGCCATCAGTGAGTGTATCACTCAGCTGAGCTAAATAAACATGATGGTGCTCTGTGGGAAGCCACAAACTGGGTAGTAACATTCAGCTCCAGAGCAAACCAAAGCACGGCCTAAGACACATACAGGATTTTTTTTATTACTCAATATTTGCCCCATAGGTGACCTGTGGCATTTAAAGCAAGTTTGTAATGTGATAGCCAAAACAAAAGTTGCATTCATCCTGCGCCCAGGAAAGACAATGTAGGCATTTCAGAGTTAAAAGCTCCACTCTCAATCTTTGCACATGACTATTTCCAAATAATGCTAATGCTCATAGATTAGAAATCCCAAGTTTGAACAACCCCTACACTTAAGGCTCAGGGAACATCCTGAAGGGGGCCTGAAAGATTTAAGAGCCATAGGACCAGAATACCCGCTGATAGACAGGGACTCTGCACATAAAATCTCAACAGTATGGTTACCTAAGCTTAATCA